CCAGGTGATGTTCGGCAAGTGTTGTGGCTGTTGAGGTGTTTCTGCGGGTGAGATAGGCTAGGACTTGTTGGCTTGTTTTATGTCGGAAACAGTCTCAGTCGTTGGATTGCTTGGCAGTGTCAGCCAGGTTTTCTTGCGCAGACTGCCCACGCCGCAACAGCAAGGCAGCATCCGAAGCCGACGAGTTGCGATCTGAGCCCATGGCTGTGGCGGCATTCGTCGGAGAGGAGGTTGCTACCACGAAGGGGGCCTGCGCAGGGAAGACCCAGTGCCTCCATCCGGACAAGCCCATGATGTTTCCAGGTGATGTTCGGCAAGTGTTGTGGCTGTTGAGGTGTTTCTGCAGGCAAGATAGGCTGGGACTAGGACTGGTTGACTTGTTTTTTTGATTACTTGCCAGTGTCAGCCAGGTTTTCTTGCGCAGACTGCCCACGCCGCAACAGCAAGGCGGCATCCGAAGCCGACGAGTTGCGATCTGAGCCCATGGCTGTGGCGGCATTCGTCGGAGAGGAGGTCGCTGCCACCAACGGTGGCTGTGCAAGGAAGACCCAGTGCCTCCATCCGGACAAGCCCATGATGTTTCCAGGTCCTCGTTGGGATAGTTTTGACATGAAGTAGTTTGTTGACCACCCATTCGTTGTACCAGCCTTCTCGGCTGAGCAGATCAATCAGAATTGAGATGGGTAGAATATCATGATGGCAATAACAATGGACATGAGTTCGGGGAAATAGAAACAATCAATCTTATCAACCTGGAAAGACGGAATTCGGAATATAGAACGTGACAGTGATGGACGACAGTGAGGACCTCCACACTAATCTTCAGATATGCGGTTTAGGGGTAGAAGATGCTAGAAGGGATGAGCAACTTAGATTTTGCGGTCACCTTGATTTGCTGGAGATCCAGAACTACGGGGCTTCTGCCAGACGTCTGGTTTCTTCGTATAGTGATGAGTCATGGCTAAATCGCCAGGATTGTTTGGCAAGCCTGTGGCCCGGACTTAAGCTGTCGATTCAAACCCGGGGCACCAGATGTGGAGGGATTGCTGGCTTGCGTGCCAGAAATGGCATCCACGATTCGCGGTGTGTTCGGGGACCTGACGACTTGGACAGAACCAGCAGGGTCCTTACGCCAGCGTTGGCGAAGGACGAAGACACGGAATAAAGAGCCTGTGCGGCAGAAAATCTCGACGTCAACACTGTGCAAACTAAAGGAACGCCTTCAATGATCAACTGACAGCTGGCATCGGAGCAAAGGCGGTGCAACACTCGGGTCACAATCAATGACCCGGCTTTGTAAGGCTGTTTCGGCCTGTTAGTGCGCCCGTACTGCCGACATTACGAACCCCAATACCCGAGGAGACGCTATTAGAATGCGGAGGGGGAGCCCACATGGAGCCAGAACATATGGCAGACATGAGCGCAGAAATGCAAAGAAGTACGTGAAGTTGGAGTAAAAGCAACTTATACAATCGGGTGTGAAAGAGACATACAAGGAATTATGTAACATCGGAAGAGTTGGAAGTAGCACAAGCAGGCATGATCTTGCTACTGTTTCGTTGCATGACGTACAATACTTTTTGGTTGCGTCTGGTCGCCCCTCAGAATGACTGAGGTTTGCTTGCGCAGATTGCCCTCGCCGCAACAGCTGAGCGCATGGCGTGGGATGTCCCAGATGTCCGCTGCATGGTTCACCCAGTGGTCTACCATGTGGCGCCTGGCGGTTTCTATTCTACATTTTTTATGCTAGGTTTCAAGCATCGTGGCCTATCGCAACTACGAGCTTCAGTGTTTCAATGGCGGTTCGTTGTCGAGCATTTGATGACTGCACATTGGCAAATGCGTTTCCTAATTATGCTTTAAATTAGAATCATGTTGTACAGCAAGGGCAGGGACTTGTCTGACACCTGGTGTGTACGGTTACCACTCTGAGCAGTGTGCAGTGCGCGGCCCGAGCTTGATCATTTGCTTTTCGTTGACATCGAAGATGTCACAACATTTCTCGCTGTGATGCGTTACAGCCTTTCGTCCTGGTCAGTAGCACCACACTTCACCACGCAGTCTGTGGAGTCTTTGTACACTGACTGGGAAATTCTCGAACACTTCGACATCGGCAGAGGCCGACGCCGTCGTCTGGGCCCAAACATCTAGTAGAACATCTAGTAGGCAAAGTTTTCAGCCTGCGGATTCATGCCTTCGAGTCGTACACTGCAGCACGAAGCACAATGGCTAGTTCAGTTCCGAGCTGCTGGTTGGAATGAAGTGAGCCAGGCTCCAAGTTTTGTTCTCGTTCCTGATGCAGAGGCTTCTCACAGGGCTCGTGCAGCTGCTTGCGGACAATCGTGCGTCCAATGAGCAAGCACATAGACTTAGACCAGAACTGCTTCTGATGCGCCCAAAAATGGCTTCTGCTCACGCAATGAAGTTGGTTGACATGACAGGAGCATCTCCGTCGCCTCGCCATCGAAACGTGTCTCCTTGAACAGCTGCCACGGCTCAGATGCCTTCCAGCCCGATAGACTTTGACCACGTGGAATCGCAGCTGCGAGTCATGGATGTGCTGGACGGCTCAGCGTGGGCCACCACAAGCTGTACCTGGCTCCACACAGCACGAGGCACGAGTTGACGGGGAGCAGCAAGCCCATCGGATGTCGGAGCATTGCTCCCTTCGTATACACGCAGAGAGAGGGAGAGAGAAACTAGAGTCTACCAGGCCAGGTCCTTGTCGGGGGAGGAGTCAGGGTAGCTCCCTGCCTAGCCTTTACACCTGCAAGGGGTCGAAGGTGACGGCGGCACTGAGGGTCATGAGTGTCTTACCGACGTGGAAGGATGTGAGGGTGCGAAGTCAGACCCTGTGCACGCTCCCTGTGCACGTTGGCTACGACTGGCACGCCTCCCGCACATGCGGAAGCAACATGAATGAACGAATGAATGACTGAATAACTACGGAATGAATGAATGCATATATATATATAGTTATATATACATATATATATATATAATTGTATAT